CACAAGTCATTGATTGGCATGAGAAAGTGGTTGTGTGTTTTAGCCAGACCATAAGCAAGCCAGAGAAAAATTATTATGTACTCGGAAGGAATTACTGGCGTTGGTGAGGTGCATCAAACATTTTCATAAGTACCTCTATGGCCAGCGATTTCGGGCGAGGACAGATCATGCAGCATTCAAATGGCTTCTACAATTCAGGAACTCAGAAGGACAGTTGGCACGGTGGATTGAGAGACTCCAAAATTACGACTTCTCTATAGAACAACGCAAAGGTAGTAGTCATGGCAATGCTGATGCCATGTCCCGCCGTCCTTGTAATCTGGAATGCAGATATTGCTCAAAAGTTGGGGCCAAACAAGACATTATAGATGTCCGATTAATGACTATAACATCAGACTGGAATCCGGAGGAGCTACGGAAATGTCAGCAAGAGGATCCAGATTTGAAAAGTGGGCGAGCTCTGATGATTGTTCCAAAAGTACGAATCCCTTAAATTCTCAAAGGGCTGCACAACGGTCCAAGTGGAGGACACATGGGTATCACTAAAACCTTGGAGAAATTAAAACAAAGATTTTATTGGGTTGGTTGTCGTGAATCAGTTACGGAGTGGATCGCCAATTGTGTCGAGTACATTGCTGCTAAAGGGCCGCGGTCCAGGAGTCATGGTCAGATGAAGCAGTACAATCAGGTGCGCCGTTTGAGCGAGTAACCATGAATGTAGCTGGTCCTATCAGTAAATTAGGAAACAGATATGTTTTGGTAGTCATGGACTATTTCAACAAATGGCCAGAGGTATACGCAATTCCTAACCAAGAGGCAGGAACAGTAGCGGATGTATTCATCAACAATTGGGTATCGAGATATGGTGTTCCAATAGAATTACATTCTGACCAAGGAAGAAATTTGGAATCAGCTCTAATACAGGAGATATGCCAGAAGCTGGGTATCCGCAAAACCCGTACAACTGCACTACATCCACAGTCCGATGGCATGGTAGAACGATTCAATCGAACTTTGGAAGAACATTTGAGGAAAGTTGTAGACAAGTATCAGAAAGATTGAGATACCCATATATCCTTGTTTCTGATGGCTTATCGGTCTGCTGTACATGAAACAACTGGGCAGACTCCAGCAAGGGTAATTTTTGGTAACGATCTTCGACTACCGATTGATTTAAAATTTGGAATTAACGCGATGAAGGATATATAGGGTGAGACGGCGCACCAAAATTATGAGCGATAAAATAAGATGAAAGCAAAATACGTAAAGGCAATAAACTCTGAGGGTTTTATTGAAGGCGATTGGGTATTGTTATATAACCCAGAACGAAAGAAAGGGCTGTCTCCCAAATTACAGTGTAATTGGGAAGGACCATACCAGGTTATTAAAAGACTCAATGATGTAGTGTACCGCATTCAGACCATTGGAAGACCAAGGAATAAAATGAAGGTTGTTCATCTGGAACGGCTGGCAGCGTTTGGTACAGCAAATATGCCTAATCGGGACGATCAGACTTAGGTAGAGGGCAGTGTGGCAAACACGAGTACCAGAACAAATCAGAATTGACGATAAACTGTCAGAAGCAACTAGACAGCGGCTTCGTAGTTGCCAGATTGTTCTAGTAGCGAACTATTGTTAAAAATTTACTATATAAGGGCTGCCGGTTTGTGCAGCAGACACAGGTTTAATTAGAGTGTTGCCGTGTAAAGAGCAATTAAGCTATAGGCAATAAGTTGTAAGTTAGAATAGCGAGCAATAACTGTTAAGTTGTTGGAATTGGAAATAAAGATAAGTGTATAGCATTAAATTGGGACTTTAACGAAAGCACCCCAGCAGAAACTGCTTGAAGAGGAGTTCGTTGTGTTCCTTAACCGGAAGCATACGGGCCTCACTATGTAGGTGTTCGATTGGAGACATCAAGAGGCATCCCGTGATAGTCCGGAGTGCAGTGTTCTGACAGGTCTTAAGCTTCTTCTTCTGCGTGTCACTGCATCCAGGCGACCATATTGGGGCTGCATAATTTAGGACCGGCCGGCCGATTGCCTTGTATGTTGCCAACAACGTTTCTTTGTCTTTTCCCCAAGAGCTGCCGGCAAGCGACTTGAGGATTTTGTTGCGGCTCTGTACTTTGGCAGTTATCGCAGTTGTGGGAGGAGTGAAAGAGCACAGACTGTCCAATGTGACGCCTCAAATTTTAGGGTTATTTACTGTCGGAATTTTTGTGCCATCGACTGAAATGTTCAGGTCCAGTCTGTACTCCTTCGTCTAATTTGTAAATATGGTCGCTGTGGATTTAGTGGGGGAGAGTGTTAATCTACTTGCAGAGAAGAAGCGAGAAAGATCGGAGAGGTAGCTGTTTACTTTTGAACACATGCCATCGATTCCATTGCCTGACGTCAATATCATACAGTTATCAGCGTACGAGGTCACTGAAATTCCCGCTGGTGGCTGGGGGAGTTTCGAAATATAGAAATTAAACAGTAGTGGGGAGAGGACATCGCCCGCGGAACCCCCTGTTAAATTTTAATAAGTTTGGAGTTTTGACCTCAAAACAGTACGGATGAATGCCGACCGCTCAGGGATAGTCCACCGCTTCAGCCCTGGAGGGAGCGTTGATTGTTCTAGGTTCTCAAGTAGCGTTGTGTGATTGACTGTATCAAAAGCTTTTGGCAAGTCTAACGCTACTAGGATCGTCCTCTCGCAGGGTGGTTCAGGCCATGAACTATCTGGGCGTTTATGACGCTTAGTGCTGTGGTGGTGCTGTGCACTTTCAGAAGCCATGCTGATGGTCTGCTAGACTCAGGTGGTGAGCAAATGTCGGGAGTAGCAAGGCCTCAAGTGTCTTCACTACTGGGGAAAGGAGAGTTATCGGGCGATAAGACTCCCCTTTGTTGGCGGGTTTCCCANTAAACGTTGGGGTAAATTTATTGTCTAAATAAAGTCAAATACATAAAAATGCTATGATAATAAATGTGTACCAGAATTATAATAAGTAAAACTCAATTATCCGCTTAATTCTAGCATATGTTTACCCCTTGAAAGGCGAACCTAAACACACTCTGTGTGTTGCCGACCGGAGACTCTTTTGTCCTGAGTTCACACGAGCGACACGAGTCCATCCACTCGTGTCCAGCTTTGCTGTCTTCCTTTTCACTAAATATAAGGAATTACCATGAATGTAACAATATTTCGATCGGCATGGCGTAAGGTGTCGCGCTCGTTTGCTAGTACAGCTGCTTCGGCTGGGAAATTTGGCCGGAGTTCCGCGATTTTACCAGCTGGTATGAAGCGAGCGGTAGCAGCAGCGATCACCTTGCGGAATTGACGCTCGCCAACGATGACGTCCGTAGGAATGAGTATTGCGTTGAAGGTGCTCTCAGTAAATTCTGTGAAGCCGACCCAGTTAGCTTTGTTAAAGTTAACATAAGTGCGGTTGTCCACAGAAATAAAGTCGGGAGGTTTCTCGATCGAGATAATTATGGGCAGATGGTCTGATGCGAGAGTTAGCATAGGTCGCCAGGTTATGCTATTTATCAGACCACCGCTAGCGATGGTAATATCGGGCGAGCTAATACAGGTGCCCATAATTCTGGTGGGGGCTTCGTCATTCATTGTGCAGAATGTCGAATCGTCAATCTGTTCCGCCAGCTCCATCCACTACGATCATTTGACAGGCAGGAATGCCAAAAATCGTGATGCGCGTTAAAGTCGCCTAGCACTAAACGGTTTTCACCACGAAGTAGCGCATCTATGTTCGGGTGATATCCTGTTGGGCAACATACAACTGGGGGGATGTATAGATTAAATATTTCGAGCTCGACATCGCCTGACCGGACAGCTATACCCGGAAATTCTAGGGTAGTGTCCCTGCGGTCGATGTAAACATCGATTAGAGGATATTGCACGGTGTTGTGCAATATGAAGGCTAGGCCTCCACCATTATCTCGCTTGCGATAATTACGTAAAACGTTGAAACCTGCACAACTCAGAAGATCTGAGCGGCTGTTTAGCTTGGTTTCTTGGACCGCAGCTATCGTTACGCACTCCCGGCTCATGACTGCAACTATCTCCTCGATCTTACTCTGGAGTCCGTTACAGTTGAATTGTAGGAGTCGCGTTTGTCGCGGGTGTCCAGTCGTGATCCTAGGAGTGAGTGGGGTGCGTGTTGATGGTGGTTGTTGCAACTGTACTATCCGCATGGGCGGTTGTCGCACTGTGGTGTTGATTGGCGACGCCACTATATTTGATTGCGGGAGCAGACTCCTACAGCATGGGGCAACATACGACGCACTCCACTCTCGTGTGGTGCGCAGACCGGAAAATGACAGAAAGTGACACCAGCCAGTACATAAATTGCACTTGGCTGATGTGACATTCCGGCGTATTACGGTCTGACACACGGAACAGACTGTGCGAGGAACCAGGAGTTGCTGGGTGGTTCTCGCACGAGGATTGGAGCTGGATGAAGGTTGGGGGGGGAGGTTGGTCAGACTGGGAGTCATGCTGTCTGTGTGAGCTCCTTAGGGCCGTGGAGGTCCTATCTTGGCCACCCGACTGGAGTGGCAGCGCAGTGCGCGAACATGGTGCAGGTTGCACAGCCGTTGAGGCAGATGTCGCATTATTGCGCTCACAGCATGGGGCCACGTAACTCGTGGTCCACTCCCTATGTATCTTAAGGCCTGAGCAGGTCTTAAGATGGCTCCATCCATTGCATGTATTGCACCTAACCGAGGTGGAGTTTGGATGGAGCCCTTTAGCGCAAACGCAGCAGTAGAATTTCTCGGGGCCCGGGTTGGACTCGATGCCAGCACGGGTCAGGAGGATACGGAGCACCCCTGCTACTAGGCGTTGCTCCAATCATGACAAACTAAATCTAGAACTCACCGATCCAAACAGGGTTAGATCGCCGAAATAACAGCCCTTGGCCGGATAAAATCCGGGTCAATTCCGGTATCGCAGAACCGGCTGTTGTGGGAATTGCTTACATTCCAAAACACACAATGTCGGTCAGAACGACTTTGGTTACAAATTGTGTTTTCAAGAGGATTTCAATTTGGTGCGAACATTGTATTATAGTTAGACGATTTATCGAGAAATCCGTTAAAATCCGGTTTTGGGTGTCATGAAAACCTATTTTATCGGTTTTGATATCAGAAATAAACCAAGAGGATAGCGATTATCCTCAAATTTGAATATTGCGGTGTTATTTATGTGTGCTGTTAGACGGTTGAAAAAATGTAAGTTAAGAAATGTAGTTATTTCATTGTTACGAATGAAATTAACTTTATTTTTATAGGGGAAAGCAAAAGCACAGAACGCAAATAGACTAATAATTGAATTTATCGAAAAAAATCCCGACATCATAAGAGGATTTACAAAACGCAATAAGCCAATTTTCATGCATTATGGCAGGAATTAACGGAATCCCTTAATGCTGCAGATCCACCTCATAAAGATGTCTCCGGGTCGAAAAAGGTAAATAAAAGAATTTCAGTGAAAATTAAACTGCAGTTAAAACAAACTTATTTTTATAGGTCATAACTGAGTGGAAGAGCGAAATCAAAAGAAAATTAGCTCAAAACCAAATTGTCGAGCAACAGGAGGTGACCCCTTTTCTAAATATCAGCTCACTAAAAATGAAGAAACAATTGTGCGTCTTTGTGGCACTCCGCAAAACGTGGAAGGCATACCAGGCGTTTCTCTTGGCACCCAACCAGTCAATGAGAATGTAACTGTTGCAATTGTAGGGGTGAAGAGCAACTACTTGTAGAGCAACACTCAGAAAATTTACTTTCTAATGCATCTAACAGGCAAAAAGATGTCGACGATATACCCTCCACGTCCCATTGAACCATTATCAGATGGGAAACAATTGTCCTCATTAGTTTCATTTGCAAGAAATACAACTTCTTTATTGTGTTCACTGTTGTAACGCCTGCAGTTGTTGTGTAACGCACAACAGACGTTTACAATTTTAACAACTTTTTCAGGGCGATAATGTAATGTACACATTAAACAGCGAAAACGGCTTTTTAAAACTCCGATTGTTCGTTCCACAATATTCCGAGCAGCCCTATGTGCTATATTGAATTTATACTCGTTGGAGTTAAACTGTGGATCTCTATATGGTGTTAATAAAAACGGTTCAATTCCATAGCCGCAATCGCCCAGCAACCTCAATGAGCGCTGTCCACTCTCATATTGTGTACGGAAATATTGCTTAGCGTGACTCATACCCCAGATGAAAGCATCATAACTTGAACCGGGATACCGTGCTTCTACGGCCCGTATTTGCATATCTTGTCACAAATATTTGGATAAAAGATATACATATATATATTATATATAGGTTTATAAATATGTTTGAATATACAATACTATAATCGCATTTATACTAAAACATCCCTTTCGGTTAAAATATAAATGCTCATCATCAGGTGGCTGTATTATTTTTATATGTGTTTCATCTATACAACCGACAATTCCGGGTATTTTGTACTTTTCAAAAAAGGGATTTCTTGAAATCAACTTTTCGTTTTCGACCATAGAAAGTTTTATCCACTGACCGCAAATGTACTTCTCTAAGAGGCATATCACTTGCGTTAAAATCAGCGATCACGTCCTTATCCCCGTTGGTAAGCTCTCTGCTAAAAATCGCAGTGTTGCTGCCAATCGCATTATAGGCGGAATCATCAAGGGCTGCAAATGTGGTTCTATGATATTTAACACCATAAGAAATGCGTCTTTATTCAGTCGATAATGTGATAAAAATCTGTAAAGTAGCGTTTAACTATATAAAAGCTGATAAGTAATTAGAAGCTAAATTTCACTTACGATTCCCCTGGTCCTTCAAGTGGGTTACTGTGGTCTCTTAATATTTTTCTTTTAATTTTTTCGTTTCTTTCTTCTTCTAATTAAACAAAAGCTAAAATTGTGAAACTCATTTTAAACTTTATTATAATTGCTTTCAAAGTTCAAAATATTGGTTTTGCATATGTTCGAAAAGACGAAAATCCAATCAGATTCTGTGACACCATTGAAAATCAGAATTGATTTGCAATTCTGGCAGCTAAGCAAATCTGTCTTGGATTCCACAACACCCCTGAATAATTTAAAAAATTCCGCTTCAGAAAATCCATTTAAAAAGGGGAGTATGTCTACATAACATGCTATGTGCGGTTTCTTTTTTTACGAAATTATAGCTCCTGCCTGGAGACCAGTCTTCTACAAGGAACTTGCAAATGCCGAAATTTTTTGGAATTTTTTATATTATTTTTAATCCATATAACAATTACCCGTACATTGCAAATAACATCCTTTACTTCATCCAGTTTCAAACACGAGGTTAAGGGTATGAATTTAATATATTTGCCCAATATCTGTAACAATGTAGCGTACTTGCCATATTTGTACGCCCCAACTTGTAAATATTAAATTTAGCGAATAAGCGGCATTATGATCTGCAGTATTTCTTTCTTTCAACTCACTCATAGGAAGACAGCAACTTTGAATTTTAACGCCTTCTAGAAAATGCAATGTTACACCAATAAAATTTCTTTCAGAAATCGGTCCAGATGTCGGTAGTAATACACATTTCTGGTGCTAATTGTATGGGCTTTATTTAATTTTAGCGAACAGCATATTTTTAAAATACTTAGGTCCCGGAAGTATGTAGAATGGCGCAATATGTTTCATAAGCCTTACAAAGCTTTCACCTGAGTAAAATTGGTTTATATTACTATTTTGAAATACATGTGGATAAACTAATTTCATGAAAAATAAAATTCACTTACATGCATACCAGAAACTACATTTTATATCCTTGCAAATAAAGAACAAACTGTTGTTTGAAATTTCTATATATTACGTACGTATTTACATAAACTTGCGTATCCTCACTTGATGTAATTATATTCAATTTGGTCAAGATAATGATGTAGCGTCTTGAATGCTTATGCAAGTTTTAGGTGTTTCCAAATAACTTTACCAAGCACTTGCAATGTTTGCACATTTTTTGCACTATTGTAATTAAATATATTTAAATTATTAAATCTTTCAGAAACACCTAAACACATTTTTGCTTGTGAACGGCATTTTCAGAAAAAATTCGCCACGCAAAAATCTATTTTTTTTCGAAACCCCCAAAGAAGTGGGTATTGAAGATTTCTCTCACCAAATGAAAGAATCTATCTCAAATGCAAACGGTGCATCGAGGCAGCTCCTTCCGCTTTTAGAAATGGAAGATTTGCGAAATAATTTTATACCCTCTCCTTGAAGAGGAGCTATTAAATAGTAGCGATAAAGCCGCGCAAACAGGTAGGGGTCTGACAGTAGGGACAGGTAGAAAGAATAAATTGAGGGAAGAGAATAGGATTTTAAAAGTAAAATTAGATGAAAGAGAACAGGAGAATAGAAGTTCCAAGACTTAGTTGGTCCAAATGGCCACTAAATTAGAAAGATGTAGGGATATGGTAAGAAGTGGTTCATTTAGGGAAATGTCAGATCCTCTTGAGATAGTCTCCATAAAGTGTAATAAAAAACGCCAATTTTGAGGCGCTCTGACACTGGAAAGAGTTGGGCATCCTATTATCCCCGAAAACACCGTTACCTAAGAATGGCAAGATTATTCAAATGATTAGCATTACTCGAGTTTTTTCTTCAGAAAGCCATTTAATTGCCTCGAGTTTCCTTTTCGGATTAATCGAAGCATTTATCGATTAATTACTACATTAATCACAACATTTTCTTCATATTTTAACGGATTTCTCGATAAGTCGTCTACCTTGTAACACACTTTTGAGTTCGATCACTGGATTGTTAATAAAGTCCCAATTTTATGGCTGTTCACTTTTATTTATTTTGTAATTCAAACTTATAATAATTCGAGTTTACAACTTATTGATTATAGCCCAATTGTTCTTTACACGGTAACACGGTTGATTTGATTTTGTTCTATCATCCGTGTTATAAAAATATGGCAGTACGCTACATTGTTACAGATATTGGGCAAATATATTAAATTCATACCCTTAACCTCGTGTTTGAAACTGGATGAAGTAAAGGATGTTATTTGCAATGTACGGGTAATTGTTATATGGATTAAAAATAATATAAAAATTCCAAAAATTTGGCATTTGCAAGTTCCTTGTAGAAGACTGGTCTCCAGGCAGGAGCTATAATTTCGAAAAAAGAAACCGCACATAGCATGTTATGTAGACATACTCCCCTTTTTAAATGGATTTTCTGAACGATTTTTAAATTATTCAGGGTGTTTGTGGAATCCAAGACAGATTTCTTAGCTGTCAGAATTGCAAACCAATTCTGATTTTCAATGGTGTCACAGAATCTGATTGGATTTTCGTCTTTTCGAACATATGCAAAACCAATATTTTGAACTTTGAAAGCAATTATAATAAAGTTTAAAATGAGTTTCACAATTTAGCTTTTGTTTAATTAGAAGAAGAAAGAAACGAAAAATTAAAAGAAAAATATTAAGAGACCACAGTAACCCACTTGAAGGACCAGGGATCGTAAGTGAAATTTAGCTTCTAATTACTTATCAGCTTTTATATAGTTAAACGCTACTTTACAGATTTTTATCACATTATCGACTGAATAAAGACGCATTTCTTATGGTGTTAAATATCATAGAACCACATTTGCAGCCCTTGATGATTCCGCCTATAATGCGATTGGCAGCAACACTGCGATTTTTAGCAGAGAGCTTACCAACGGGATAAGGACGTGATCGCTGATTTTAACGCAAGTGATATGCCTCTTAGAGAAGTACATTTGCGGTCAGTGGATAAAACTTTCTATGGTCGAAAACGAAAAGTTGATTTCAAGAAATCCCTTTTTGAAAAGTACAAAATACCGGAATTGTCGGTTGTATAGATGAAACACATATAAAATAATACAGCCACCTGATGATGAGCATTTATATTTTAACCGAAAGGGATGTTTTAGTATAATGCGATTATAGTATTGTATATTCAAACATATTTATAAACCTATATATATATATATTATATCTTTATCCAAATATTTGTGACAAGATATGCAAATACGGGCCGTAGAAGCACGGTATCCCGGTTCAAGTTATGATGCTTTCATCTGGGTATGAGTCACGCTAAGCAATATTTCCGTACACAATATGAGAGTGGACAGCGCTCATTGAGGTTGCTGGGCGATTGCGGCTATGGAATTGAACCGTTTTTATTAACACCATATAGAGATCCACAGTTTAACTCCAACGAGTATAAATTCAATATAGCACATAGGGCTGCTCGGAATATTGTGGAACGAACAATCGAGTTTTAAAAAGCCGTTTTCGCTGTTTAATGTGTACATTACATTATCGCCCTAAAAAGTTGTTAAATTGTAAACGTCTGTTGTGCGTTACACAACAACTGCAGGCGTTACAACAGTGAACACAATAAAGAAGTTGTTTTCTTGCAAATGAAACTAATGAGGACAATTGTTTCCCATCTGATAAGGTTCAATGGGACGTGGAGGGTATATCGTCGACATCTTTTGCCTGTTAGATGCATTAGAAAGTAATTTTCTGAGTGTTGCTCTACAAGTAGTTGCTCTTCACCCTACAATTGCAACAGTTACATTCTCATTGACTGGTTGGGTGCCAAGAGAAACGCCTGGTATGCCTTCCACGTTTGCGGAGTGCCACAAAGACGCACAATTGTTTCTTCATTTTAGTGAGCTGATATTTAGAAAAGGGGTCACCTCCTGTTGCTCGACAATTTGGTTTTGAACTATTTTCTTTTGATTTCGCTCTCTCCACTCAGATGACCTATAAAATAAGTTTGTTTTAACTGCAGTTTAATTTTCACTGAAATTCTTTTATTTACCTTTTTCGACCGCGGAGACATCTTTATGAGGTGGATCTGCAGCATTAAGGGATTCCGTTAATTCCTGCCATAATGCATGAAAAATTGGCTTATTGCGTTTTGTAAATCCTCTTATGATGTCGGGATTTTTTTCGATAAATTCAATTATTAGTCTATTTGCGTTCTGTGCTTTTGCTTTCCCTATAAAATAAAGTTAATTTCATTCGTAACAATGAAATAACTACATTTCTTAACTTACATTTTTTCAACCGTCTAACAGCACACATAAATAACACCGCAATATTCAAATTTGAGGATAATCGCTATCCTCTTGGTTTATTTCTGATATCAAAACGATAAAATAGGTTTTCATGACACCCAAACCGGATTTTAACGGATTTCTCGATAAATCGTCTAACTATAATACAATGTTCGCACCAAATTGAAATCCTCTTGAAAACACAATTTGTAACCAAAGTGTTCTGACCGACATTGTGTGTTTTGGAATGTAAGCAATTCCCACAACAGCCGGTTCTGCGATACCGGAATTGACCCGGATTTTATCCGGCCAAGGGCTGTTATTTCGGCGATCTAACCCTGTTTGGATCGGTGAGTTCTAGATTTAGTTTGTCATGATTGGAGCAACGCCTAGTAGCAGGGTGCTCCGTATCCTCCTGACCCGTGCTGGCATCGAGTCCAACCCGGGCCCGAGAAATTCTACTGCTGCGTTTGCGCTA